CATACTACTTCAACTGATGTATTTTTTCATGATGATTCCAAATATGTGCTTGGTTTTGAATTTTGAGTAAGATTTTCCGATGAAAATATTTTTATAAGTGAAGATGGTGGACAAAGTCTTGATATTATGGAAAATCTCTATTTGGTGACTGTTTGGTGGCGTGGCGGTGTGTGGGTGATGCTGAACGTAGCAAGAGTAACAGAGGTAAAGACGACAGTTTCCAGCTACCTCAGACTTAGAACCAAAAATCTTTTCAAACCTTGCACAAACATTGCGTCAATTGCAAAGTACAATTGACCACTTTCCGGCAGTCGCTTTCTATAATAAAATAATGCAACATGTAGGGAATCATCAGGGCTATAACTGAGATTATTTCGAGGTTTGCAAACTGAAAGTAGAAATCATAGGATTGCAAATGCTTAACAAATAACTACGTTTCTCATGAGCTCTATCGAATGAGAAATTGCTTGAGAATATTGGATACTAAATCGCCAAGTTAATCAAGAAATACTGATTCTTCGTAGAAAAAATATGAAAAGTGGGAGCGTTCCTTATGAATTCTTCTGTTCCTTGAAACATCACTCTCTTTTTCATTTCTTCTCAAGTTACATTTTTATATTTGAACGTATAATTTGTTAAACTTATTTTCAGTCAAATCTAACTTTTGCCTATTAATAGCTATACTCAATGTGGTGCTCGATTATTTCTCAGTCTGATCATGAAACAAAACCTAACACTTTTCAGCAGATTTCTGTAGTCATGGTTTTCCAGCGTAGCTAGGTTTCAGGTAAAAAATCGAAAGATGAAATGACGATGATGTATAAGAAGGCAAATCGATCTGTTTTTATTTTGGATATTAAACGCATTCGGTTTTTATACAGAATTGTTACGCCTCGTTTCCAGTCCGTTTTGATAGATCTCAAGGCTATTATCAACATCATATAAGATCGGGATAGGGTTAAGATTCAATGCAGATTATGAACCTCATGTCGATTTTGAAACTTAGGACAATTAGGATGTTTTATATATCAATCTATCGAAAACCTTCTACTGAGATTATAATGTAAATCTAACATCATTCAGCTCAATGTTTTTGACTAGCGAGACAAAGTATGATTTAAAAGGACATCTCAAAAACTTATGATTACAGACAATACCTACGCAATTCAAATACCATGAAGGCTTTTTAAGTTGAAAAGCTTTCGTATTATACGTTCTAAAAGTATCGCAGTCAAAAGGTTGCATACCATAGTTTCAGTTTTTCTTGTCTCATCTATAGTACACAAAGATGTTCACCAATATGACACTCAAATGAACTGAGCTTGTTTTTCTCTTCAGGTATTTACAATCACTCTAAAATCAATTTTAGATATTACATTACTACTTTTACATTTCGGAATTTTCCTATGCAAAGTTCATTGCTACTGCAATAGAGATCGCTGTACATCCTACAATAATCACATCTCCTTCTTCATGTTATCTTTGAAGCTTTTACATTTTACAGAAAGAAACATAGCATTCGAGATGACCAATTTCTAGCGTAAATTAATTAACGACCACTTCAAATTGATTTACTTAGCGACTGATGTTAAAAGAAAAAAGAAAGACAGACATCACTCGATTCCATAATATCGACGATGAACGGGTCACAGGATTGTTCATGTGTGTCTTTTCAAATGATTGATTTTGAGTTCTGTACACTCAATTCGTGTGAAATAAGTCTAGAATATTGTGAAGAAGTTTTGCTAAAAGTTTTTAGCCTTGCTTCGTGAAATTTTGGCAAGTATGTATCAAGCAAACGTCAAAAGTAACTCGTATCTTCGAAAGTTCTTCCTGACTCTTTGTTCCATATATTCAACCATCTTTGTTAGGAAGAAATTGCCAAAATGTAGGGTCTGTCGAAGAGCTCTTTTCGATTTTTTTTTGTGACGAGGAAAGAAACCACGATTCGATACTCTTAAAAACGGTTTCAATAATTACGAAATTACGAAACTTTGTGAAGAATCGAAGTTGTGATCCTTTGTCTTCTCAAAAAAAAAATCTAAAAGGAGCCTTTCGACAGATACTGCATTCCAGCATGCTCTTTCAAACAAAAAAGTAAACATATGAAATTGACAGGCAAGAAGAATATTTGAAGACAAGGCGAAGTGCCCTTGGCCTTTGTATGAGGCATATTTGTCAATAGTCTCACGACATATAGCTAAAAAGAAACTTTTAGCACAACTTTTCCACAGCAACTATGACATATCCTAGAAATCTCATGCTATTAAAATGTTTATTGTCCAAAATCAATCATCAGGAGATAAAGCCTTCATGTTAGGTGTGAAATATTTCAACTAAAACATTATCTACTTAAAGTTAAGATGATACGTGATTGACATCACGATAATGCTGTTTCGTGCAACTTTCTTTTAGGTGAAACGCTGTCTATTTTTTGAAAACAAAAGTATACCTATAAACTTCATTGGGAACTATGAAGGTCGAACACGTTCACTTTTCTATATGAATTTCGAAATCTCAGAATTATGTTTAGAGAGGCCTCTCAGTTAAAGTTCAAAAAAAAACCTTATCTTGGAAACGTAAATGTTTTCTAGCCGAGAAAAGTTCATTGATGTGATATTACCGTAATGCAAATCACTTATCTACGTTATATGTAAAGAAAAAAAATCTCGAACTTATTCTCCTATCAACGGTTAACTGGCCAATGGATGATTGTTACTAGCAAACAATATGAAGCGAATCATCTAGATTTTATGTACGCTAAATGATTAAGTAATTGATCTTTGCTAACACTGAGAGCTCTGAAGATATTCGAGCTACGAGAAAATATCGATTGAGGTTAGGATAAGTCGTTATATATAGATTCAGCGTAAGAATGAGGGAACAGAACAAGAATTAGCATAAGGATATATATATATATGAATAGATTAAAACTTAGTGTAAGGAGCTGAAGTAAGTAGGTTATCATTCTAAATGAACGCATCAGTATAAATAGTGACTCAATAGCGTGGCAATGCAATCCTTAGGAAATTGAGACTACGAAACCATATTTTTACGAAATCTAAAAAAGGTTTAGATTTCGTTGCAAAAGTCGGGCCTTTTTTAGATTTCATATAGCCCTTCTTTGTCAGTAGAGTTGTATGGTCACTTGATCTACTACAGTTATGGGTGAAGTGCATTCTTTTCTTGACATCAATGAAGCATTGAATTGCCAAGAATATTTGTACGTGAGCTCTTTCATAACGCAGCTGTTCGATTAACCTAGGATACATGAAAGAAAACAAAGAACACACTTGTAGAAGTAAATTAAGTATTCTTTAAGATACAGAAGGCAAATTTACATTAGAAAAGTCGTCTCTATCTTAACTCTTTTTAACAATCTTTCAACTGTTTTGTATAAATATAAAGAATACATACGTATACCAACCGATATAGTCTTCGTGCATAATTTCAGTGGAACAAGCTATGCATCGGTCTGTAGTGAGTTTCTTTTCGTCTTTGGTGTATGTAATGGTTAGGGGAGAAGGCGAAACATGCGTGCTAGCTATATCGTCCATCGTATGAGTCGAGCAAAAGAATTCAAGCTAGAAGATAAAGCCAAGATATGAAAGAAAGAATGACACAGTAAAGGAGTGTGATATAATACACAAACGACATCATTAGTCGAAACTTTGACAAATCCTTCATGTGCATCAACCTCTCAAAAAAAAAGTAATATAATAGTCGGCATTTCTGTTTTTGCAAAATTATGGTCTCTAAGCATGGGTTAATCGAAGCAGCCACAGCGTAGAACAAGGGCTATTGTCACTAAGGATCAAAGTAAAATGTGTACCATTTTTTTGTTTCTTTGCTTACCATCGATCGACCAGATTGACTGGACAGTAATCCATAATATATAAAAACCTTCCATCAGTTTACGGTAGATCAACATTGTCTCTGCTCCTTTCGATAGTAAGATGTCACCACGCTCAACTATGGAAGGTATGGACGTGTGATTGTGGAGAAGATAAGACTATCACTTTCATCCACCCACATGTGTACATCCCCACTGTTTCATTGTTGAAACTTTGAATTCTCAAGTAAACTCGGTTTAAGTGACAAAGTGTCTCTAGGTTGTTGTAACGATTATTTGGCTCTATTCATGAATTTAATGTCAGGTCGGTTTTCCATTGTTTGATTTTTCAGTGAATAACCAAATGTGAGTGGAAGAATCAGTAAAACGATCATATTTCGAGCTCAAAGACCCGTGGGCATGAGCCATGTTACATTTTTTTCTGATTTTATTGAGCCCTTCTTGTGGGTTCAATATAAAGTCAAACGAGAAATTGCAGTTTTGATATTTTGTTTGTAGGTAGTCGTCAAAAGGTAACTTCATTAAAGATGACTTGTGAGTTAGATGTACCATAATCTATTGTGCTTATGCTCATTTATAATGGCACACTGGATCCTACATCCACTTCCCAGATTCAAGTGAATAACTTTGGCAAAGCTCGATCTAAAATTGTAGACGGTTTTCGGAAGAGAATGAGGCTGTTTTTTGCATGTGATGCTTCGAAATGTCGTCTAATTGAGCTAAAAATTACGGAGCACGCCTATTTCTGCATGAGAAGATGTGGGTGAAACCAGAAACATTAAAATGAGTTTTTTTTTGAAAATTTATCCTGCCAGTATATTCAATGGTTCTTACGTGGACATTCTTAATACAGCATGACCTTTATTTCATTATTAATTAATAAATTATATAATTGAATAGAAATCAATCTGTTATAATCGATTTATTCATCTGATCCATTATCATTCTCATCTCTTTTATACTCTTTAAATGTTTGAATTGCTTTCAAAATATAGAGACCATAATTAATTGGTTCATGTTTTGGTGGGTTTTCTTTACTTATAGCTGTCGAGAGAGCAACAATGGGTGTTGTATAACATGCAGATAAAAAGAAGAGTATTGATAATCTTTCTTCGTTGAGTAGTGTAACACGATGATTAATTGCTTTTCATAGACCATTCGTCAAACGTTCGAGACATCTCTCGGTATTAACAACAAATGCATACGGAACAACGTCAACATTTATCCATTGCTTTGGATTATCTAGCTGAACTTGTAAATCACTTATCTGATGTTGATATAGAATCGTCAGAATAACATTATCACAGCGTGTTTCACATCGAAGTGATTGTGCATCTTCACCAATTAATATTGGCATTGAATTATCGCGTTTTGGATAAAAATTCAACCGTAATGCTGATAAAGTATCAACATTGCCCTCTGTTGTATCATTAATTAATTTATCAAAATAATTTTCATTCAAATCAAATGCTAATGCTATCCCCCCATACATTATTGATGTTGATAAGCGCCTTTCGGTTGAAACCTACCACGATTAATCAAGGCCGATTACTGTATACGATCGTGACATTCTAGTTTCAAAATTCTCCCTTTTTCCAGAACTTTCTGACCAGAGTCTATGGAACTAAGTGCCGAAGTGATTGACGTGAGTTTATTTGATCTTTTTCCTGCTTTTAAAAATATATAAAAACAACTTATCGTCTCTGTCGATACTCAATTTCTCGCTTTGTGTTATGTAATTATGCTGGTGATAGCCATCGGCCATTATACATCGCTACTGAGACTGATGTATTCTTTCTTACTTGTCTGTCCGTGTATATTACATTATCTTATCTACTTTTATGGTTTATACTACATTCCTTATTATCTTTTGCTCTTCGGCTCCCTTCTCTTTCGCGATGCACTGTCTTTGAAGAAAAAAGAAACCTCATCGGTATGTTACAATATGAGAAAAATAGAGCGTGTTTTGAAAGAGAAGATATATGTATCGACTATGTTTTTCTCGTTTTTGGTGTTGAACTGATAAGGATCAGAAGATTGAACTGAAGTTGAGTAAAAGTCATTAAAAGTAGTCTCTAGCTTTCTTCGTAGTGCGTAACTTGATTTATTATACGAACGGATGAACGAGTCATCATTTTATGAAAGCTGGGTCAAGTGGCGACTTAAATTCAAGTCATTCTTAAGACACAATGATTCAACAAGAAAATTAATTAGGTTGTGAAGTGAGGGTGTAGATGGATAGTAAACCCGCACTGATACCGATACGTACATCCATTCACACCCATACGTCTACACCCACCCAACATTTAATTATTATTTGAAAAACGCTTCTTGTTGATTCGCCTTGATCTTTTAATTAGATACATTGAGCTTCGTTAAAAAAAGCCTTTACTAAATGGAATAAAACCTGTTTTCCGAAAAACATTCTTTTTATTAGATAAGTAGGTTAAATTTTTATCTAATCCTTAGTTCAATAATCACTATAATCATTTATCCGAACTGAAATAATTATTGTGAGGTTCAGATTGATTTTATTGATGAAAGAACGAACAAATGAATCGATCTTCGTTCACTTTTCTATCTTGGAAGGTAATCTATAGAGTTTTTCCCATACATCTCTGAAGATTGTTGGCAGGAGAAAAGTATTAGACAAAACATTCCAATACTTATATGGTCATATATTCTAATTATATAGAAAATTAATCATCAATCATATTTCTTGTTATACTATTTCGTGACACGGATGATTGTATGACGAAAGCTATTGTTTTATTGTTTTCGTAAATTGTTGTTTTCAAATTTGTCAAATGATATATTACAAGAAAAGTTTTAATCTTCAATTTCTCATAGATGATTAGTTTATGTAAAGATTTGGTTGACTAACGATGTTATTGTTGAGTAACGCCGCAATGGCTAATGGTGATAATTTATCAGCACTCTGAAAAAAAGAACATTCGGTCTATTAAAATTTTATATGGAAATAAAGTCAACTTACAATTGTTTTCATTTTTAACATTGAACTAACACGGTTATTTATATAGAGAGAATTTTTTATAAAATTACTTGAAATCATCTTAAATTTACCTGTTGATTCTGTTTCTTTTCAAAATAACAAATGAAAATCAGAAGATCTAAGCCAACAAGGGTAGTTGCAATATACATTATTACAACTGATGGTTTCTAAACGAAATAAAATATCTATCAAACGACTGAAGAATAAGAAAAAACCTACTTCAATGATCATCTGTTGAAACCGGCCAGATCCTTCTTTGACTCACTACATAAATTAAGTTAGGTTTCTGCTTTACAATTATAGCGCTTTTGTGAAACATTATTCTTAACGACTGTTTAAGTGTACAGCGAGAAAATTTATCCTTATCACTACAGCTTGCTTCAAAGATCGCGCCAAATATGTCTATCTTCTTTTAACCTATTGACAGAGATTTCCATAGGAATGTAAATGGTTAATGGATTTTCTGACATGCTGGTTTTTAACCTCATCATGTTCTGTCATTTAGATGATGAGACTTTCACAAGAGAGAAAAGTGAAAACTTCGTATTTCTGCGTGCTTGTAGATTAAGCGAAACCTATCCCCTTTGTAGCTTCTTAACTATGTAGAGTATGCTATTAACATGAGTCGGATGATTTGTTAATCAGAATATCATGTCAGAATTCGATTGCAAGAAACTCAGCAAAACGCAATATAATCGACCGAAGCTCAACAAAACTTGCACAAACTCTTACTAAAAAATACATCGAACTAGCAGTTCAGACGGTCGCAAATACTTAATCTAGATAGTAGTTTTCTCGTATTCAACTTGTGTCTTATACGCACCTGTCAAAATAAACAAAAAGCTGTGATCCTAGTCAGACAAGACCCCTTTAAAAAGTGTGGTAAAATTTTCTTTTAACGCCTTTAACTATGTTTGAGACATGTGAGCGAGTGTCAATACGTAAAATTTGTCTAAATTGATGTATCTTTACTCGTTGGCATGGCAAATATGACTAGTTTTACCGCATTCAAAGGCGCCAACAGCTACTAACACTAAATGATTGTTTAAGAAAGCATATTCTTGGCGAATATTTTTTTTGAACGCATTTCAAACATTCAACAATAACTCGTTATTTCTTGCTTTTCCTAGGGAATGAAACGATTTTGTACAACTTTGTATTATGAGATTCGTTAAATTTCAGGATCTTTATTTCGGTAAAGAATGCTTATACAAACAAACGTGATGTGAAAACCCAAATTTAAAGAATGACACGTTACTTTTTAATCAATTACAAAAAAAGAAGGATATTCTTAATGACATTTGATTACTCTTGTTCTTTATATCGGAAAGATTATGGCAATTTTGATAATCTATTTGTTTCGCTTGTTCATTAATAATTTTTCTCAAAGTTTCAATTTGATTCTGAACTATTTTCTACAGGGCGAAGTTATCATTTATTTTTTTTTCTTTTGTATTTCTAATACTTATGTGAGGATAGAAATTTCCAAGGGCTTTTTTCTTTGGTTTATGATTATCTGTATAATATCAAGAATACCGTCATCAATTGAGCGTGAAAGAAAGATGTTTGTTACATGATTAATATTCTAATCACATTAAAAGATTTATTATTAATTTATTTGGCCATCGACTTCTCTTAGATCTATTGAAATTATTTTATTTTTGTTTGAATGTTGATACGCATTGAAACTTGTAAAGATTCGACAATCAAAAACGGGACCAAAATAGTAATTAAAAATGACATATTATCTATGTTCAACATTATTAGAAGAAAAAAAAAGTCTACAATGATATAACGCACAAGTAACAATGCTTTTTTAATCACCTCATCAATGAAAAGACTATGTTGATTGAATAGAATTGATTGAAACATAACGGTCTGTTTGCCTTCTCTGTTAATGTTAAGATACGTTTATATTTATTATGATAATAGAAAAATTTTTATGTTTCTCTCTGCATCTGCTGATTTTATTGAGACGAGGAGAATAAATAGGTAATGCTTCAAAAGTGAGAGTATTTCATTTCATTTTTCTTCTACTCTATTGTGCAGTTAATATCGTACATTGTGCATTAGTCAATGTTACGCAAAAAATCACATGTTTTACTACCTTTTTTTGTCAATGTATTAAAATAAAGTTTACAACACACTCGAGATAATAATTCTCCACCAGAGAAGCAAATAAAAATAAAGATAAATATTTTACAATGGAGACATTGAAATAAAAAATGCCATTTATGAGTTTTATTTTTCCGATATCAGTTGACATTGTGATGTTAAGTGTTATCAGTCCTCAACTCTTCAAAATAATTCATTGAATTGATTACCGTAGTTCTGAATAATTTTTATAGGAGAACTACTGAGACGTATTTTTTCAATCATCTACTTTATACATTGAGGATTTATTAATTGTGATCATATTTCAGCGCCTTCACACTGCTCGTATGCATGTATGTACTGAAGAAGTATAGAAGATTTATCTCTAAATCAACAGACACTTATTCAAAAATTCCAATGAATCTGTAAAATATATGTCTCTATAGCTATTGTTTTTATGCAATCACATCGACATCCTCAGAATGCATATCAGGTTCGTAAAAGATCATTTTGTCTTTACATTATTGATGTTAGTTTTCTCGTTCATTTCGGTAAACTTTTCATTTAATCATTGATTCTATGTATGACAATATCATTTTTCTCTTTCATTGATAATAGTAATCAAGTCTTTTTTCGTAGTCATTCATTTTTATTCATAAATGGCGGACGTATTCTTTGATAATTTACTACATTCAAACATTACTAATGATGTCAGTCCTTTGTCTTTCTATTTACTATGTACAACAGAAAAGAATCGTCATGTTTTAGTTTTTCTGTTCACGTTCATTGAGAGAAGGGACAAGCAAATAGTTATAGTTAGATGTCATTAATAAGTTTCGATATTGTTGCTTGCATGAAAAGTATGTGTCGTCAAATATATCTTAATTCAGAGAGTTTGTTCATGCCAATCAGAAAACTGCATGGACTAGATCAATGGAAATTATTTCTATTACTTATTAAGAAACTTGACCTAGGGTTATTTGACATGAACAATTTGAATCTGAAGTTAGCTTTTCATCTTATACTAATTTTTAAATATTTTCTGAAAAGCATGACCAACTGTTAATTTGTATGAATGATTCAAATTGGCAGTGCGACTTTACTTAAATATTAGTAATTGATATATAATTACTAAAGAAATAATTATATTTAATAAGTTTATCAATAATTTGTGAAAAACTTAATCGAAGATTACTTTACATGGAGAATTCGAATTCAAGATTATTTTTTACTCTTATATTAATATTTATTTATTTTTAAGAATTCTTTTATTAAAATTTTATCATTATTTTCTCAATTTTCTAAAAGCCTGCTCTTTCTTGATCGTTTATTATGAGCAAAAACTCATTGATCTAATGAAAGACGAAATTCAGTATAAAATTTCGACTAATCACAAAAAAATCATCCAAATAATTGAAAAAAAATCAGCGATTCGAAAACGATCACTTGACTGGTTATACAAAATGAACTGAACGGTTGTATAAAAATATAGATTAGTTTTAAACTCATTTTTCTTGACCGCTACACTTCTGATTTAATCCATTAGTGTCAAAAATTAGATAGCCCGTTAAGAATTCAAACTAACAGTTGATTGTACTGTTAAACATTAACGTAGATCCGATTCAATAATACTTTTTTGTTAAAAGAGTTTCTATATTCAAATTCAGAGAATCTACTTGATAAGAAAACTGAAGGAGCACGCATGATTTTGTTGAATATAATAAAATCTAAACATTGTAGTATTCCAGATTTACTTGAAACGTTAAGTTTAGAGTTTTCATCACCCCATTTGAACCTTTCTTATAAAAAGCTTTTCAATATCTCTTACTTTCTTTTGTGAAAGACATGCCGTTCTTTTCTAGACAATTAACCATGAATATTTTTGGGTTTAAGGGCCTGTCCCTTTTCCGACCCCCAAAATTCACTTTTTCCAATTTCGATTTTTTGTATCTAAAACTCCTCTATCGAATGGCATATGACCGAAAAGTTTCATGTTTATTTAGATTCTTGAAAAAAACAACTTTTTACAGGTCTGTCGTGTTATAAAGGTCTATACTAATATAGTTATTTAATCCTAGAGGTTGCAATCCATGGAGCTGAAATCTATTGTGTGGCAACTAGGACTAAATCAGAGTGTATATGTTTTTCTTTCTCTTGAAATAACGTTCGGATGATTTTTGGTAGATCTTAGAAAATTTGCTTTAAAGGAAAGAAACATATTTTTTGACAGGGACTTCCAGTGTTTCAGTTCTCCTAAGCGAGAGAAACAATATTTTTTCAAGAAAAAAAAATACACAACCCAATTTGATTCTAGTTGCTACAAACAAAACATTATTTGAACGCATGATGCTGATTACGCTAGTAGAATAAGATGGTCATATGAGAAGAATGTTTTTTCACATATTTTATAACAATAGGTTGGTTAGAATCATACTTTTTCGACTTGGATAATGTTTTCTACTTGAATGATTCTTAGGTTTATTCTTCTACAAAATAGAATGAAGTTTAATAACTACTGTCCTAATGAAGGACGGCAATACAATACTCTTATTTCACTAGTCAAAATGAGGAGTAACATCAATCATTACTTAGATGTGGTAATGAGATCAAGTATCATTCGAACACAGCACACAACTTCGACATTTTCATATTTTTACTGGAATTCATGCTCACTGATTTACTTTCTTTTTCAGATGAAACTCGTCTTTTCTCGAGCAATTTTATTCATTTGACTACAGAATTCTTCGAAAGATGGTTTGTAATCTAGCTCGCTGCTTCAAACGTTTAATTGTTATAATTTTATTAACTTTTGCTTCTGTTGAAATCTACCTTCTCATACGAGAAAAGGAAACAGTAATAGAATCTTCATCTTTATTAATAAAAACTGAATTCGAACATATATCATACAATCTCGAACCATTTACCATTCCTCTGCCTCATTTCGTGGATGATCAAGCCCGTGATTGGTTTCTGAATTCTACTTATTATGCAATGTATTCGAATCAATGTCCGAAAAATGATTGTCAAGCACATGGTTTTCTCTTTGATGCTCTTGACGAACACCGTAGTGTGCATATCGATTTCGTTAAAAATGGTGTGTATGCGAACGATGATTGTGGTTTTCGGTACGGTGATACTGCTGTCTTACGGACTTTTAATGCAACTAATCATGTAGACGTTCTTTATGATGCAGCATTTATTTATACAGTACCTGATGGCTGGAGTTTCCAACATTTTCTCGATGGAGTCGGACCGAAACTATCTCATTCCTATGTCTATTTATATAAATATCGTGATGCAAAAGTACTGATACAGAAAGGTATTCGATTCGATCGATCAGTGAAAGAAATTTGGGAAATGCTCGGTAAGTTTATCATCTCAAAGAAAATTCAAATTTACTAAATATATTTCAGGTGTAAAAGAATCGAATCGATTGATACATTATAAGGCTGATACAAAGGTTGGTGCTCGACTTCTGATAAATCCTTGTCGAACACCAGCAACTCATCCTCGACTTTGGCAAGACGCTCGTCACATGTATTGGTCACTCATTAATCTATCAGAATTGAATGTTATATCTTCTAAAAAAAATCTTATTTTCTTACAAAGAACAGCTAGCAACGCAATGAATAAAGGTCGTCTTATATTAAACGAAAAATTATTGATTGATAGTCTTGTTGAATATGCATCAAAACATTCTTTGAATTACATACAATATGATCATTCGAAAGATCATCGTCATATCCGACATCAAATAGAATTGTTTTATCACGCAAAGATCATTATCGGTGTGCATGGTGGTGCTCAGTCCAATATGAATTTCGCTCCATCAGGAACGACAGTTATTGAAGTGATGCCCTATCGATCACAGGCAAGTAGGGTGCCTGTCGTTTGTCAGATGCCCAAATCCAATAAACCAGAACCATGTGTCGGTTACATTTACTATGCACAATCTTGCCTACTCAATCAATCTTATTGGATTTTGCCGACGGTAGTTAACAATGATGGAAATATTAATATTGATTTGACTCGAGTCAATGCAATTCTGAATTTGTTAATCTAAATTATAATCAGCACTAGCTCAAAATCATTTCTCTAGAAATAATGCATCAACTACTTGTTTCAAGAAATATATTAAGAAGTCATTTCTTTATGTGATAAAATCCTACAGCTGCGGCAAAAATTATGAGTAGGATACCGATAACGGTAAAATTTTCGTTCTTTATGAGTTGAAAAAGTTTTATTATAAAGTCATCAGATCTAGGAAAGAACAAGTCAAAACGTTTACTATTTATTTTTGTGAAACAGCATACGCTAGGTTCAGTTTTTACTTTTACAGATGTCATTTACACATGTTCTTTGTTATTTCATTTTTTGAAAGTGATTACGGCAATTATTGAGCTTTTCTCTATTAGATTAGATTATTTCGTTTGCACTGTATACTACGTTTATCTTAAAATGTGTTCTTTCTGTCACCTTTTTTTTTGAGAATTTTAGAAGATTCTTTTTTATTCCCTCTCTATATACATACGTTTTCTCTTCGAATGATTCAAGAAGAATACTGATTAAAAAAAGCTTGTTAGCGCAGCTCCTGCGGAGCTGAAATGTGGAACTCACGTATACCTTTAACTTTGTTACCTGACGCATCATCTGTATACTGACCCATGTCGTGAGAATCACCGCGATTTTCGCGATTTTCTAAAAAATTGGCGTGAAATCGTGATTTATCGTATTTCTTTCAAAGATCGACGATTATATCAGATTTTATCGCGATTATGGGAGAAGAGCTGATTTTCAAAAATCATTGATAAATCATGACAATTATTCATTCACCGTTTTGTTATGAACACACATGGATATATAAGCAACGCCGTTCAATGCATAACAAATAAGTTTTCGAAATATACTTTTCTGATAAATTATTTCTTGGTTATTTTTAATCAAAAAAATGCCAATCCCGATCCATGATCTGGAGAGGACTATACTGAAGCGGTCTGATAAGAATCGGACCAGCTCGAGATTGGACAGATCGAGCGATCTGATCGGCTTGGATCTTGAGAAAAAAAAATGAATTAAATTCAAGAAAAAATCCAAATATGTGTCTCCCAAAGAACCAATGAAATAGTAGAAAATATCAGTAAACAGACGGTTAAATCTTGCATAAAATCACGATTTATCGTAAAAATCGCCGAAATAATCGGGAATAATCGGCGATTCTATCGCGATTCAGCTCACGATTATCGTTTCGATGAATCGGGATTAATCGGCAATTTTTAGCCGATTCAAAGGACATGGGGAAAGACTTCTCGTCAACTATAGTTGTTTTCCTTGAGAATCGATGAAAAGAGCAGGAATTTATTATTTATTTGTATATTAAAAATATATATTAAAAAAGAAAATATTGCTTTTTCATTTAAGTGCGCTCGATTTCATTTATAATTATTGCTATATACTCGATAATAATCTTTTTTTTTTGTTTTCTGATTTGAAGTTATTTTTCTCCACCATCGAGTATATGATGAATACGGTTGTTGCAGTCTATTTTGAGGGGGGGGGGGGGGGGGG